CGGAGCGCGCGCCGCTACTGGGCGCCACGTCCGGGCGCTGCCGCCGCGACGGGCCAGGCGCCGGGAACGGGCAGCAGCGTGAGGCCAAGGGGAGGGTTAAATATAAATATAAATATTTAACAGGTCTTGGACGTTTTTGCCCTCCCTACCGCGGGGTGCGCAGTAACCTAATAAACCCTGCCAGCTTCCTCCGTGGGCTTATGTGCTGCTTTGGGGGTTAAATCTGCATTTTACCAGCTTCTGATTGCACTAGCGCGCCTGGTTGAGCCTCGGGATTTGCTTGAATTAAGCACGGATTAAGCAGGTCTAGGGACATATGGAAGTACATGGATATTTATGGAAATGAAAGCAGTCTTGTACCTAATGTCCCCCTAGTTTCCGCCCCCCCCCTTTTCATGTAGCAAAACGAAAAAGAAAAATTAGTTTTAACTTTACTCATTTTTGTGTCCAGAAGTTTGGAAGTCCCCTAGACACCTTATCAGAGTGATTTGCTTGTTTAAAAAGCTCAAAATATTTTCCTGTTAGCCCTGCCAGCCACACATTCTGCCGCTGCAGGTTTTGGTGTTGGGATGACTCCCGCCCCTTTGGCACCTCCGGGATTATCCCATCCCAGCTCTTAGGTGTACGTGGTGTATGTGTACACTTGCAGTGAGAGGATGCTGTGGGGTGTTTTACTGTTTTTTCTTTATGGTCAAACTTGTTTGGGCAGTACTAAAGCCCATTTATTACTAGTTTGGCCATCAGTGTGGCTGGTAAAATCAAGTCTTGAAGAGGAAGCTATATGGTATCAGCTTAAGAAAAAAAGAAAATAAACATTAGTTTTTGGAGACTTCTTTGCAGATGGTGTCTGTTACTTGCACTCTCATCTTATTCAAGCAACATATTTTACTGACATTATTTTTACCATTAATGTTACAACAGGGGTAGGAAATCTGCCCCCATCTCACGGTGACCGATGAGATGGGCGGCACAGAAGGGATGAGGGCCTTTTCTGAGCTGTGCTGTGGGTTGTAGGAGCAGGACAGGGCTCCAGGTGATGACAGCGGGTGCAGAGCCATCCTGGCACAGCCCAGCACGGCGCCCTGGCGGGAGCACCCTACCTTGGCAGGTGCTGCACATCCCACCTTCACGCTCCCATGTAATTCCCACTTCTGGTCTCACTTCTGATCCCCACTGAGACACCAGACCTGCTTCTCTGGCCCTTCAGGCTTCAACCATCCAGCGCTTTGTTTGCTCGGCATTAGTGGTTCTCCCTGGCTTTTTTGCTGGGAGATAAACCACCTTTCAGTTGGTCCTTCACACACGGCACCCTCAGAGTTCACTCTTTCTGCCACATAACATTTTCCCCATGTGTTGAATTGATAACTCACCTCCTAAACTCAGCACGTTCATGCATGCTTTTTTCAAGCACCGCACCCAGTGTGGTGCTCACAGCTGCTATGTGGCACTGGTAAGTGACAGCTAGTGGTGCTCAATCATTGAAAAGGTGGAAAAAGGGCTCTTACAATGTGGTTTGCATTCTGTTAGAAAATGGTTGAATTTGGGCTGGGCAGTCAGGGGAAAAGGTAGGTTGCTTAGTGTGTGTGTGGTTTTCTTTTCAGTTTAATTTAACTCCTAAGCTTCCTCAATTTTAAGCATACTTTAAATTATTAATTTTTAGCAGCACTTTATAGTTACAATGTCAACAGATGCCCTCTGCATGGTGATGATGCACCACGTACAGTTCAATCTTCTTGCTACCCGGAAAGACCTACAACTGCGTGGATCACAGCACGTATGTGGTACACAAACACCTACTTAAATTATCAGCCTGACCATGTAGTGGGAAGCCTGTTTACATTTGTTGTTTATTTTCATTTTATCATTTGTTTCAGATGTTCTTTATTAACTGCTATGTGTATTTTGAAGCGGATGCACAATTTCAAGTGTGTGTGAGAAAAGTAAGCCCTCTTCAGTGCAAGATCCAGCTTTCAGAGTGGACTAGGTACACTTTTAAGGAATGAGCTGCAAACAATTCTGCTTTCTTGTACAAAAAAAAAACTCCAAGGTTTTGTAGTTATTTTGAACTAATTTTTAAAGAATGAAGCCTGATTTTTTTTTAATGCAGAACTAGAGTATTTCTTCACAGCATGGGCAACATACTAAAGCAAGTCCTGCTTGGGATTGCTTGCCTGTTATATCTGGCCTCCTGTCTTGAAAGACATAGTGTGGTGCTGGTGAGTGCAATGCACAACTCTCAGGTAAAACAGCCACTGGGAAAACAGTGGTATTTTTCTACCTCAGCAGTGGGTGTGCAGCTCAGTGTTGCTGACAGAACAGATTTTATACTGCTGTCAGATTAATCTGAGAATGACTTACATGATATTAATATACATATATTTTTTTAATAAGCTGTCATCCATTTTACTGAAACTCAGCTGTAGCGAGCGGCTATGCCTGAGCTTTTGTGCAACAGTCAGTGAGTGCTCTGACCTTGATTTTTAGAACAGGGGGAAAGGTCCAAAAGAGGGCAAAATTGCTTGAGCAAACTGATCTTCCCAAAGTGCTGACAGTTGTGTCCAGCAGGAGGGTAAATGCAGTGGAGAGAAAAATAACGCCAGCGTGAGTATCCGGATCTATTTCGTTTTACATTTGTATCTATAGGCATTGTAATCAGGTGATGAATAATTTATATTAGCTTTTGTTATCTTTAAAATAGTTTTGAGTTTGCAGAGGAGTTAAGACCTGACAAAAGATTGCAAATTCAAGGCATAGTTCCTCGGTTCTTCTGATTTGCCTTTGTTGTGTTTTTTTTGTTTTAATGGTAAACACACGCTGTGATAAAGATGTTCCTAAGAAATGCTCAGGTGTCAGAATAGTTTATTCCCATTGCCTCATGAGATTTCGATTCTTGTTGTATAACATTCTTACATGATAAGTTATTTTGTAGGTAGGTCTTTTTGGTGTTTACCTACAAGATAGACTCGTGACTGGTGTAAAGACAAATTCATCCATTTCGTGTGTGTATAAACTGTCCCAACAGGTTTCTCATATCGGGAAACTCAGAGGGCTTCTTTGAAAACCTGTGTCAGTTGGGAGAATGGCATCGTCTTCGTCACAGATCTGTGTCTTGCTGCTGGCTTTATCGGGCTTCACCACCATACTTGTTACTACCATGTCCAACAGATGGACCGTTTCCAGCGCCGCAGCCGTGTCAGCTCCTACGGATTGGGTTTCGGAAGGTCTCTGGATGGAGTGTGCTGTGGCCGCGCAGGGAAGAGTGCAGTGCAAGAGGTTTTTGTACTTGTTGAGTTCAGACAGTAAGTTTGTGTGGCATACTTACATAAAATAGAGCAATGTGGTTTTATTAGTGTATTACTATCTGCTCTGGTATTCCTCAAAGGTGGTCAGCTTAATTTAAAGTGTGTCTGTATAGATAATGCTTCTGTATTTTCTAGGCTAGCATGTTAACTTGCCTGCAGATAGCAAGAGAAGAATGATCTTTCCATGGACTGGAATTTATTTTGCTTGGATTATTCTGCATTTTTTATATAATTCTACCAAACACCCTTTTTGTGGTAAAGGACCAGGAAGGACTCATGTATTTAAGTACTTTTTTCAGAAAAAAAAAAGGAGCAGAGAAGCAGTTGCTCTATACCATTCGAACACTGATGTTCTGGTTAGATTTCTGTCTTAAACAGAACAGTCTGCTTGTTCTTTTACAACTTTCTGAATTGTGCAGTCCTTTTTCTGAATTGTGCAGTCCTACATTGTCATGGAAGCATTTCTTCAAATGCTCCTTCTTTTATAGATCCCCAATTGTCATTGCTGCGTTTCTGGACTTTTGAGATTTTTCCAGCTGATTTTTTCCTTGCTGTGCAGTGTTTAAACCTGGATGCTGGTCTTACAAATATCACATCTCACAGACTGTGAAGGTTTGTGTTTCTTGACACAGATATGGACTCCGCTAAGGTCAGAACTTGCATAAAAATGCAAGGCAGGTTTCTAAAATGTGACTGCCCAAAAACTCAAGATTCAGCATTTACACAGTTCCTCCTCAGGCCCCTTTGTGTCATGGCCTCGTCTTTGTGGTGATGGTGCCAGCTTGAGAATAAGGATTAAGCATCACATAATGAGTACAATTTTGTAGCCTACTACTAACATATGAACTTTAGGTTAGTAGTGCTTTAGTAACTCCACTCATGCAAGTTGGAGGCAATATCAGCATTTCATACCCTTCCCTTTCAGCTGTGCAGATGCCTCCCAAGGACATCCTGTGAGCAGATACAAGGAAGGCCCTGTTTCATCCAGAAAGCTAGATCTGATTCCTGGGAGTCAGGGTGGGGAGATGGGACCAATGGTCCTTCAGGTCTCGCAGCCTCACCCAACAGGCCACAGAGTGACACCAACAATAGGTAATTTCCTGGGGAGCTGAAGCTGTTGCCTCCCTAGGGATTTTTCTTCATTCCCTTCCCGTAACCCCCAAGTCATAAGAGCAGATCCCTGCTTGGCTGAGTGCTGCTGGACCTCCATAACTGCTTCCTCTAGGAAGAGCTTGTTCAGGCCAGCTCATGGCACTCGCTGGAGTTGCCTGGAGAATCGTCGTGTGCCACAGGAAGGGCAGCTGCTCTTCCTAGTGCAGAGTCAGTGCTCCTATAGTCTGGGACAAATGGACACAAGTGACAGAGATCAGGAACAGACAGCTTGTTTTGGTCAAATATTTAGGTAATTCTTCAATTATTTTTGTTCATTTATTTGTTTTGTTCATTTGTTTTGTTTTTCCAATATTTCCGTAATGGAATGGTTAAATGGTGCCGAATGAGGAAAAACTCGTATGTTCCACGTCTATAGTCCAATCTTTTCTGCTTTTATGTGTGTTTTATGGGTGCCCACCAAAATACCTTAAAGCCATTAGGAAGAGAAGAATTCTTTATGAAAGCATCTCATGGCAGCAGTAGGAAAATCTGGGGAAACTTGCTTCAAGTTCTTAGCTAAACTCAGCTTGGAGAGGCCTGTGAGCAGCACTGATCTCTGAGGTTGCCAGACTGATACCTGTGTATGGAGGAGTTAATTGGAAGGTCTTTGGAGAGCTTTTGAAGGGGTGCTGTTGTCCAGTGTATTCATTTTACTGTGCCATCATTTTGAAACTGTAGTGACCTTTCCCTAGCTGAAGGAGAGGATTCTCTAGAAATGTCCTTAGAAAATAAATTGTTAGCATGTCTCCATCCAGTTTCTCTAAAAGATTGCAAGTGCAGTGAGTGAGTGAGTGATTGCAATCACTCTCACAATAAGTGATCGTTTTGGGAGTCCCAATGTGAACGCTGCCATGCCATGACTCTGCTGCGGTTTTGCATCAGAACGCGGTCATTTTCTGAAGAAACTGGTTCCATTTCCTGGACGTAACAGCAGGTGACCACTGGGAAAGAAACTTCACCCTGTTTACACACACAAGCAGCTTAAGGTATTAAAATTAATGGGTGCTGAGAAATGACTCTATGCTGGTGTCTAGTTATGGGCAGAAGCAAATAAACCAAGTTCACATGCCTCAACTTGGTCTAGAATAGATATTTTTATACTCATATAAATAACCTGAGAAACATGCAATTAGTTGACAGGTTATTCTTCAGTTAGCTGTTTTCCCCCATCAGTTTCACCCCCCCCATCAAGCCTTTTGAGATAGGCTTGCCAGACTGTGGGTCCATCCCTTATGTTGTGTTTCCATGAGCCACACATTACCACAGCTGTATTCCAGTATACCTGGGACTCTGCTTTAAGAGTGCACCAGTTTAACTGTAGATTAATAGATAGTAAAATATTAATGAAAATCACTTATCCACCAACCTAACATTCCTGAAATAAGCTTGCAGTATAGTTGTTAGATAATTTAGCTAAGCTAGAAGTTACTACTAGTTTATGGCCATAATTCTAAAAATGCACTAAGTTTTCTATGAATGGGAAAAAAAATCCTGCTCGGAAGTTTCTAGTTGAGTTTTGCCATGAAAAAAATAACACGAGAAAGCTTGATTTGCTTTGATGTCCGAAGTTTCAGTGCACATTTCCCAGGTAAACTGTAGTCCATTTGATGGAAGGAGAGATGGAGATTTGCCACAATCATCACTCTTTCAAAACATTTAGTGGCTGGCCTTTATAGGCTGAGGTTAAGAATAGGCTCCTTTTGTCACTCCTTATTAATATTGTCAGAAGTTTGAAAAAAATAGTGCCTCTGTCATAGACTGCTCCCACTTCTTATTGTCATTGCCTGGAAGCCTTATCTCTGGGGCTGAGCAAAGAGCAAAGGTAGCCTCATTTTGGAGTGAAAGCCAGAGATAAACCAGCAAGGAGGCTTCTGAAGCCAGACATATTCTTCATTCACCTGGTTACAATCTAATTATAGGAGCATTTAGCTGTTACTACTCCGAAGCATGTCTGCTGCTTTGGAAATTGCTGGTTTTCTTTTGTGTTTGGGTGGATGTACACTTATCGGAGTGACTTTACCACATGATTACTGGAAAGTCTCCAGTATACATGGTAGTGTGATCACCACGTCTACGTTGTATGAAAACCTCTGGAAGAGCTGTGCAGAAGACAGCACTGGAGTGTCCAACTGCAGAGAATTTGACTCTATGTTTGCACTTCCTGGTATGTGGCTTTGCTCAGACTTGTTTGCACTGGTGCAGATTTTGTTGGAAGGAAGTAGTGAGATTTTTGTTTTGGTAATATGGTGGTATTGGAAAATGACATTGACTTTCTGGCCAACAAGAAATTTGTGGGCTAACCTGTGCTACTTAGCAGTTTTCAGTAGTAATGCCGATTGTCCTCATGTGTTTAAGGCAATATTCTGTGCATAGTTAAGTAGTTTTACAGGCAGTTAACCCAGTTGTTACCAATCTTGAATGTCTGTAGACAGTCATCCTAGAATAAGATTGTCTTCCTCCTCAGCTGTATCCACACAGGAAAGTGGTTGAATTGATGAGAATGGAGTATACTGCTGTCTCTGACCATGGATTATCCGGGGCTCGGGCAGGAGGCAAGTGCATCAGCTAGGCAGGTCCTGAAAGTGGCTGTTTGGAGCTTAACTTCCACGTGGCTCAAGAAGACATCAGTTACTCAAGTTGCTTGAGAAGATGACAGTGTTATTTGTCAGAGGGAAATTTGTCACAGAGGGAAAGCGAGGCTAAAAAGTGCTTACAGCATTGTGGAGAAGAAAAGGTTTAGAAAGAAAAATTGAGTAAAAGAAAAAGCAACCAGGTAGGGAAGTTTAGAGAAAGTCAAGACGATAACTTGGCCAAGTCAGGAAAGAGGAAGAAAGTGGGGTTGTTAATGATGCCCCTGCAGATATGGGGCCAGACAAACTGGAAAATAATCACTGGAGTAGTTGTGTTTCAGATTGCTTTTAGGAAACAGCCGCAACTTAGACGGGAAGATGCCAGAGGTTATTAAAAAAGAAGGTGTCTTTGTTCACAGGGTGTTATGGATCATCATAAAGCCATGTGTAAGCATGGCCATAAAGATTTACCATAAAGGTTTCCTCTTTGGCAGCAATAGCTCTGTGCTATGCCTCCGATTTTTGCTTTGTGTATGGAGAATATCAGACTTGGATCTTTTAACCTTATTTACAGCTTTTGAATTCAGCCAGCCATTAGCTCAGTACATCATTTTTACCCCTTCTTTTATAGAATGAGGTTAATCATCCTTGGATGTCTGTCACAGGTATGTTTCATGGTATAAATCCTTAGTATGAGAGAAGTGTTCTAAAGGATTAAGGTTTCAGTTTATTCAGGAGGCATTTTTTTTGTGTGCGTAATCATAAAATATCATTCAGGCACACGTCTAGCACTTAAAAAGCCAGAGGTTAGAGTGTCCCTTATATGGATATTTCTCCAAACTAACCGTGAAATAGGTAAAGAAGTGCTAAGACCAGAGTTTCTGAATTGGTGGAGAGAGGGGTGCTCACCATATAATTTCAACTTCTAGAGATTTTCAAGATGCCCAAATCACAAATGTGTACACTGTGGATCTTTTTAAAGCAATATTGCATAAGACTAAAACAATGTCTGACTATATGGTGTAGTTGGCACTAAACATCTAGTCACATCTGGGAGATCAAACATTTGCTATAAGGCAATTAGCTGCCAAATGCTTTTTAGGTGCTTTTCTTCTTTTTAAGGTTATGTGAATTTCTGCAAATGGTGATATTTAGGATCATTTCTTACAATTAGCTTTGACTAATAAAACTAATTGACTTGTATCTTGTTCAACAAGCTCAGTTTATAAGAAAAAGCCAACAGAAAATTTTCTAGACTGTGAAATGAGCTGCTTGGTTAAGGCTGTTGAGATTATTGCCTTGTGGTACAAGAAGCGTGAAAGCTCTTCTATTAATACAGCCACTGGGTTGCAAACAGCTTGAGGGCAGCTTTAGTGCCCTGGAAAGAGACAGGGAATCCAGTCTAATACTCTGGGATTTCTAAAGAGGTGAACCATGACCTGCCAGATCCCTGCTGTGGCTAATAGCTGCTGCTGTGGCGTCTGACCCAAACTAGAAGCAATGCTGAAGTTGAGTGCTTCTCCGAACTCCATCGTCTGCAGGCAAAACTCTTAAATTGCTAGTGGTGCTTTTGGGGAGCATTTCCCCTTTTATCATTGCCAGTTTTTCTTTTTTTTTTCTTTTTCTTTTTTTTTTCCCAAAATGGTGGGTTTTAGTGCTCTAATTCCTTGAACACCATTACCCTCCCATGCTTCATTGTATTTATCCTGTGGCTATGTGTAATTGTCTTTGCTACCAGCTCAAGCTCACAGGACCAATTCTCTTAAGCCCTATGAAGCCGCACGGACAAGTGAGTTTGAGTGGGAACCCACCACTTACTCTGTTTCCATGTCTGAATTTTGATGGCTCACTGATACGGAGCCACCAGGCAATTGCAGAGGATGGGAAGGCCATCAGGAAGCGTAAGAGGGAGCACATGGGCCAGCCCAGGTGCTGTGCCTGCGGAGCTGCAGCTGGCTCAGACTCGGGGACCCATGGTTAGGAGCCAAGACCTACCAAGAGCTGGCACTTGGCATGTTTGTTTTTTTTTGTGAAGGGGTGAAATTCACAAAAAAACCCTCCCCTCTTAGACCAAAGTGCATTGGGGAGTGATCAGCTCATAAAAAGAAAAAAAAGGATGCCAAAGCATCATCTGACCTGGAACCTGCCAAATTCAGGGCACCATTTTAGACAGCCAAAAGTCCTCTCTGACCTTTCTGCTTAATAAGAATTAATAATTAATAATCTGTCCCATTTTTTTTTCTGTGACCAGAAACTTGAGAGAGGAAGAGTTGTCAGCATAAGCAGAAAAAGAGCTTTGGAAGTACTGCCGGAGATGGTCCCAAATTCCTTATGATTAGGACTTTGTGGCAAAGCAGCATTGAAGGTATTCTGGACACACCAGTAGTAGCTGTAAGGACAGCAAGACGAGTCCTAAGTAGGAGACTTACTTCTGCTACTATAAATGACCATAAATACCACTGGGATTTGAAGACATAAGCTGTGAAGGGCTTTTTATATTTTTTTTCCTAGAGTTTATTAATACCGCTATAATATGCGGGTATAGTTTAGCATTGAAATCTGATTGAATTTAGGTATAAGCATTCTATGTTTTTGATGTTCCTCTGACAACAAAATCATACAAGAGTCATTCCTTACTGTTCCTGTTAACTTTCTGACTGTGATCACTTTTTTTTTTTTTTTTCTGGAATAGACTTAATGTCTGTAGATGCTGACTTTTTTTTCCCTTTTTCTATCTTATGCAGTTCATGTTCAGGCATGCCGTGCCCTGATGATTACTTCCATCCTTTTGGGACTTATAGCTACAATACTCTCGCTGCTTGGTTTAAAGTGTGCACACATCGGGTTGAGTAATGAAGATGGAAAAGTGAAGTTTGCTGTCACGGGAGGATTTCTCTTTATTTTAGGAGGTAATATTGAAGCCAAAATGAGGATGCTAACAGTACTTGCTTTCTTCACCAGACTAAGTTAAATGGTTTAAAGTCATACAGTCATCAAAGGAGTTACTTAGGCGCTGCTTTAACATTTTTTGGATAGGTCTCTGTTCCATGGTGGCTGTTTCTTGGTATGCTGCAATGGTTACGGCTCAGTTCTTCGACCCGTTGTATGCTGGAACCAAGTAAGTCAATAGATGAAGTAAGAGAAGTAATGAAAAAGTAATGAAAAAGTTAAAGATGAAGTAATAGAAAAAAAGTAAGTTAGTAGATGTGTTATAGCAAGTCATTCATGTTTTATGTTTGCATGTTTTAATGGTGGCAGCACTACTGCCAGCTGCTCCAGGGGTTTCACACCCAGTGGATGGACAAGTCTCTCTCCTGGGCAAATTTTCATCTCAGACCTCCTTTGGTGGGGAGGAAGGAAAGATTTTCCTCTGGGTTATTGAGTGTTTAGGGGATACCAACCCCAAATTTGTCCTGGTTCATGAGGACAGAGTACCCTGATATATTAGCAATCTGTGATCATCTGCTGCAAAATGTAGAACTGAAATTCATGGTGCACAGGTCATTCCCAGCAAGAAATTTTCTTTATCTGCAATTGTACTCGAATCCAGATGGTTTCTTCCTTCTTGCCTGACTCTTAGTCTGATTCAGGGTGCCTCCCCTGATACTTGTGTCTCCTCTGTACGGGTAGCTTCTTCTTGTAGAGTAAGGTGAAACACAGAATAAATGAACAACTGGTGGAATTATTAGCCTATTCCAGAGCTTTCTCATATTAATATGCAGTCTTTTCCTCCTGTTTTTTTTTTTTTTCTCCTCAATCCCATTCAAGGGAAAATGAGACTGCCTAATCCTCAGGGACAGTGCAAAAAAATCCCAAACCTCTTTTGTCATTGCTACCATTGCTTTGCCATACAGGGCTATGGCTTTGCCCACCGTCTGCGTGTTACATCTGCCTCTAGGTCCCTACATCCAAGCTGTTTTCAGGCGAGCATGCATTTCACTTCATTTTAGCTCAGCATCCAGTATAATTTTATCACCCAGGATCAATCTACAGCTGATGGAGAGACAGGCACATGCAGTGCAAGCTAAAAGGAGTGTCTGTCTTACAGTGTGCTTGTACAACAAACATTTTACATGAACAACAAACTTTGCATATGTACAACGAACCTCACATATTTCTCATCCAATTAAATTTTCACCTTGCATGTCAATTGTAGGGATTACTATTTATGTAGGCCTGACGAGTGCAATTTTCCATGTTCCTGTCCTTTAGGAACACTAGGAGGAAGATTGGTCATGACTGTTACGCAGAATAGGTATTTTTTTTATGGCTGCTCCTTCTTTGGCATCAAATAGAAGCTGCATTTATTCCTTTTAGGGTCTTTCATCAACATTGCCTGCTCACTTCATCATTTATTGCTCTTTGCTGACATGGTGACTGGTTTCTGAGAATGCTGGGGTACCAGCAGCCTCTCTGCTCACTTTTTCAATGGCATTTTCAAATGCCATTTTTACCTCTGCTGCTGCCTCTTGGGAGGAGTGAGATGTTTAAATACTTTGGAAATGCAAACAGCTAGAGCTAGATGCAAACAGCTACCCCTCAGTCTAAATACCAAAGCTATTTTTGACTTTCACCTTTTCTTCTTCATAGCATTGTGATGTAGACTTAATTGACTGTCCTGAGAAATGTAGAAACAATATAGAAACTGGCTTGAACTGAGTAGCAGTGATCTGCAGGTAGGTGAAGAATGCCACTTGAGTTTCCTGCTTGTTTTAATGAAATCCAGCAAGTATTTTTTACGATACATTAGCAGTTCAACATTTGTCTTTAAAATATGGCAAAGTTTGCAGGCGTATCAGCTTGTAGAATTGAGCATAAACAAGCTTAGAGGAATGAAAACTCCTGTTCTTGTGTGATAGAGAAGCAACAATCTTCAAAATTAAATGCCAGCTAATGACAGTTTATCGTGGGCAATAAGTTTATCAGTTGGTAGCAAGGGTAGAGGTGACTGGGTGTTTCCTTTGAAGAGGGGGAAAGGGAGAAGGAAACAAACAATACATTGTTTGGGGAACAAGAAAGAGCAGATCTGAGCGAGAAGGAATGTATATAACATGCCAGTACGTATACCAAGTCTATAATTTTTAGATCAGAAGAACGATAAATCTTTACATCCTGGGATCATATTTGAAGGGTTTTATAGGCTCCCCTTGAGGATCGGTGTAGAGAGGTCAGCGGTGCAGTGCTTTGTTATGAATCAAAGTACTTTCAGCAATTACTTTTGATGTTTTTTAGTTGTCCTTACCCTACCAAACAAGCAGTCACAAAGAAATTGTGCTTGTTAAGACCTTTTTTTTTAAATGTTTTCTGTCCCCTTGAGATAATTATCTGAGGGGCAATAAATGTGTTGGAGGACCTAAACAATGGATGATAAGGAACTGCAGTCAGGAGACTAACTGGTGTAGTTATGTGCTGCCGCTGCGGGACTCCAACATGAATGCGTGTTAATCAGTGACCCATTTGTTTGCTTTCAGCAGCTGAAGAGAACTTTTGGTATAGCTAAACTTGGTGTTTGAAACTATTGTTTTAGTCAGGAGGTCTTATCGAAGTAACATTGCTCACGAGCAAAGGCAGGCAGACTGTGTTCTCAAGTAATTTATCCTCCTTGGAATTAGTGAGATTGACTTACTTTAATACCATTACTGGCCAGTATTGATCTTTATACTTACCAAACTGGCAAATCTATATTTTTTTTAAATGCCTGTTCTTCTACTTTCAGTAGATGAGTTCATTTGACTATTAGGTCTTACAGAAATTTTAACTCCCTCACAGCACTCTCCTATAAACTCTGCTCTGCTGGGTGACTGCAGATTTCTTGTCAATAGCTAGGCCATGAGTGAACACCAACTACTGCGTGTGCTGGTCAACACTCTCCAGCTGGTCCTTACTATTCCTCCAGCATCTTCCCCCCATTTCTAGAGTTCGTTTGAGGTGGCGATGGTCTTTTGCTCTGTGTTTGTATGGTGCCCAGAGCAGAGCTCGGGTCCCCACAATGTAATGGGATCATGGAGGGGAGCAACCTCCAGGAAAACACCAAAACATTGCTGCAACAATTACCGCTGCAATCAGAAGCACCCGTTATCTCAAACAATGATTTTATGTTTACAGATAACCAGAAAATACACTTACTTGGGGTATTTTATCTGGTTCCGCACAGTCCATGAGATTTACTTTGCTCTTGTTATTGGCTCTGGTTCTTAAGTCGACGGCTGAGCAGAATAATTCAGACTTGCCTTTCTGTGCCATGAGAAATGGCTAACCACAGAAATCAGTTTTCTGTGGACATGACTGCTAAGTCACCTATAAACAGCTAAGTATATGAGGCTAGCTTTTCCTTTCTAGTAGAAAAATCAGAAAAGAGTAATTGTTTTCTGTGTAATCTTACATTAAACTTAAAACACAAAGAAGAGTCAGCTCTCTATCCTTGCTGATTTTTTTTTTCTTTAAGTTATTACCAATTACTCTCTGTTGCTGAAGGACATTTAGGAGTGATCTCAGGAGGAATAAGGATAGTTCTCTATTGTGCTATATAGAACAAGACCCCTTCCGGAAATCTCTTGAGTCCGAGAAAATCACAGATGATGAATCTTAACCAAAAGAATAAGTATGATGCTACTGTCTGGTGGGAATTTGACAAAAGAGAAAAAAAAAAAAAAGGAAAGAAAATGGAATTTTTTATGTCTGAGCAAGAATTAGAGCTGTGATGTCATTGCACCTGCGTTGGTCCTTTGTGTGCTTCCTTCACATATGTTTAGCAAGCACTAGATAGAGGGGTAATTTCTAAAGTTCATCAGCACCTGGATCCCATTGTTCTGGGCTTGGCTCTTAGGAACCTTAGGCTCTTAAGACCTGAAGAGGCAGGATCAATTAAGGGCATTAGTGAGTAATAATGAGACTGATAATCTGAAATTCAACAAAAGCTAATGGATACACATTTAGCTTTTCCTTTTTCCATTTTCCTTTTGAACTATTCAAAGTGATTGCTTTAGATGGATTCTCTTTTTAGAGAGAATACAATTATACAATAAATACAATTATTTATTGCTACTTATCTTAATGATTGCTTGCCTCTTTCTGTTCAGTCACTGATTAAGCAGTGCACTTAAATATACACTCAAGAGTTTTACTGAACCGTGATGGAAATGGGCCTGTTCTCCTCTGTTAGCTTTTGAAGTACATTTCGTTAGCTGATTGCTACCCAGAAAGGCATTTGTTTGCTTGAGCTGGGCTGCTTATGGCTCAGTCTGAAGTAACCGTGTCTGGCATCACACCATATAATGTAAGAGCACAGAAATGGTTACAACTTCTCTGTGTGAATCTGTTTTATGCTGCTTCCATAAAAGATTTTTATGTTTCAGGTATGAACTAGGAGATGCTTTGTACTTTGGCTGGGCTGGATCTGTTCTTTATGTGCTTGGTGGGATCTTCCTGACCTGTTCGTGCAAAGGGAAGAAAAGAGGGAAATACAGGTAATTTTTGAATATGTCAGTTGAAATAGCAGCTGTCAATTATATACGTGTAACATCCATTTTCTATTTGTATACCATTATCTCGACCTCCAGTATGAAGCTGCATCCATACTAAGTCTAGGCAGGAAACTGTAGCTGCTAATTCAGTGCTATGATGCCACACAGGCTACTTGTACCCCCTAAATTCTGCATTTCTGATATATGGCAATCAGCAATCACATATTACTAATCTTTTATAAATCCGGGTACTGTTGCTGCTAAAATCTGTATGATTAAAAATATGCAGTCAAAGAGCAAGCTGTCCTTTGGCCAAAGTATAGTGTATTATAATTAAGTTCTCCTCCTGCAACATTAGCTACTGTTAAAACAATGAAATATTTAATTTAAACATTTAATTTGTAGAAAGTGTCATCATATTTTCCTCCAAAAATATAGATTGTTTGATACCTATGATTTTTTTTCTTGTTTCTCATGGAATGCTCTGTTGTGCATCAAACCTGAGGGGGGAAAAAAAAAAGAATGAATTCTGGCCTCCATGCCTATTCTTGCCTGTTTTTTTTTTTCATTTTAAATTATTTGCACATATAGAAGGTCCCTGTCTCAAGAAGAGGACTGATGTTGTCAAAATTAGCGGTGTATTAAAGAGAACAACCCAAGTGGCAGGGAGGATGTACAGTCCAAAGTTACGTGGTTGTTAACATGTTAACACAGAGGGAAACAGCCTCACTGCTGTTGTATTTAACCTGGGGAAAGTTATGTCAAAACAGCTACTCAGTGAGCATATTCCCCTGGCAGTCCATTACATACTGAGCTTAAACTGATGACATTTAAGTTTTATGGTAATATTTCATTAACCACTTTGGACTTTCGATCCACTCAATTCGACTCACCCTACCTTGCTACAGAGTACCAAATATATGGAAATCTATTGCAAAAATCAGGTAAAACTGGTGCAGACAGTAAAAGTTCAACATGCCGAAGGCCAACTGAAGGGCTTGGTTAGACTCTGGGTGCTTCTGGCTTTCCTTCTCATCGTCTTGCTCCCCGCATGAAGATGTGCAGCTTGCACAACCTCAGGGCATCCAGGTCTCAAAGTGCTCCTGCTCTAGCCTGGGCACCCAGAGGGTGTCTCTGGATAAGGGCTCTCGGCCTTCGGCCAACAAGCCCCCCTCTTCCTCTTCTCTAGAGGACCAAGGTCTGCTCATTTCTGCACCCGTGTGAAGTATTTGATATCGATGGGTTGAGTGCAGACCTAAATGAGTAACCTCCTCAGTATGTAAAACCGCAAAGTTATGCGCAATCCTAATGATTTTATGTATTTTTTTTCTTAACTTGCAGTGGCAGCAAATATGATTATTCCATGGGCCAGGCAGTTCCTCAGCAGTACATGTACTCCAAGAACTCAGAGGCAATCACAAGCACCAAGGAGTATGTCTAAATTTGCACATTTTACATTACTCGCAATGTTAGTAGTTTGTGTGCTCAAAAAAAAAAAAAAAAAGTGACCTGGTTCCAAGTTGCAAGCATTCATCTTAATTTGGAGATGATACATGTTTTAGTACCTCCTTCTGGGAGTGGCTTTAAAATAGAAACTGACTCCTACAGAAAATGCTGTGATGTAAAATCCTGAGGCACCAAGATTTTTCTGCACACTGAGCAGCCTGGTAAAGTTATAGCCTACCAAATGAAGAGCAACAGCTTTATATTTTGCCGGACTCAGTGTGGAGCTGATACGCTGTAGCTGACTGCAACTTAATATGTCTCACTGTTGGGAACGTGTTGTATTTTTGTTAGTGGTTCACTTTCTATTTTTGTTTAGCTGCTTTAGCTTTTGGCAGTCAATAAGCTTTATTCCACTGACTGACTGACATAGTTTTTATGGTGAGCGGTATCATGGCCATAATAAGGATATAGTAGGTATACTATAATTATAATTCTGTGCTTAAGGCTCAAATTAGACAGAAATTCACATTATGTATGCTAGTCAAGATGATTTACATAACTTTTTTTAAAAATAAAAACTCTGAGAAACAACCCCACACCTCCAAGTGTGCAGAACCGCAACAAATTTCTTGTGGGAAAAAATTAAGCTACCAAAAATGAACAATATAGAAGGATCCAAACACAGCTGGGAGTAGAGAAAGCATCTGATGATTATGTGCCTTCAGATAACTAAGGAAATAATCCAAATTTTAGACTTTTATTTCTAGTTTTGGGTGTTTTTTTCAGATCTTAATTCTATTTTTAACTTTGATCAGTCTTTACCATTGAGAACTTCTGTTGCACGTGAATTGTCTAAGTCAAGTAATTCTTTATTATCCATCATTGCTCGGCCTTAAACTACCCTGCTGCTGGGGAAAGATATTTTGCATTAGCCAAGCACTCAGACTCCCAAGGTGAGCTCACATCCCATAATAGTGGCTCTCTGAGCAATGTGGAGATGGTATTTCACGCTGTACATGCACAGCTTTCATAACTTGCCACTTTTAAATCGCAAACGTATTAAAGCAGATCAACAAAATACATCTGTATTTCTGTCTTACTATAATGTCTTATGGCAAAAGATTTCCTGCATCTTCCCTGATGCCCTAATAGATAATTTCAACAGGGTAGCTTGACCTGCATGCATACGGATACAGCTGATATATACAGACACATTAAGGCATGAATTTGGGCATTGATAAGTTTTATTAAGACTCATAGCTCTTCTGCATAAATTAACAATGCTAAAATGAATTTTAACACCCCCCTGCCCGGGCACATACACCCACTCAGGCAGAGTGATAAGCACCTCTTGTGCCAGTGTATGATGCACCCATATTCCCAGGCCTGCACCTGGTCATAGACATTAGTTATGATCCCAGAGGTGAGACAGATATCCAGACATTGGTCTTGCATCAGAGCTTCCACTTAGGTTACCAGGGAAGTTTAATTAAAAACAAAATGGGAGACGAGTAAAACTGCTATGTAGTAACATATTCATGGTTAAATGCATTTATTATCATTACTCAAGGGAAAATAAATGCTTAAGGTAACTGTGTGTTTGCAATCCTTCTGCCACTCTTCAATTGGTATTGCTGTCCTCTGTATCTTCAGTAGCAATGCACTCCATGACTGTAAGGATCCATCACCTCATTTGGGGATAAAAAGCCTTTTATTTAGTACTTACACATAGTGTCGTAGTGAATTTTTTTTAATGTCATAAGCTCCTTTAAAATAACATTGTGTGATGATGTTTTAATGAGAATTAAGTCTGTTGCTCAGCTGACAGCTTTCGCAGCCGTAGATCTTCTTCATATCGCTGCAGCTGAGCCCAAAATCCTGCATTGGGTTCTGCTTCAGGCCTGGCAGCCTTCACAGTCTAGGGGAAGAGGAGAGACATAGCAGAAATAGTGCGGACAATTGAACAAAGTGGCCTTAGACTAAAAGGCCTTAGCAAATAAGTCACATATGCACACCTACACATATACGCACACATGAACACATTTATCATATATGTGCACCAGATGTGCTGATGAAGCTGAGGTGTTTGCAATTAGCCTTAAGCCATTCAAGAGCCCCCCTGGGTGATGGTTCTTTGCTATATCAACCTGTTACATAGCTGATATGTACATGCCAGCTTAAAGAATGAACCCTGCAAAACAGCTTTTTGCTTTTTCTTACTCAGTTGCTTCACATCTCTGACTTCAACTTCCCTCATCGCGACGAAGCCAATGCCAGTGGGAAGGTGCACGCAAACAGCCAGCTCCACATGCAGATTTTAGCACCAGTGCTTAAAGCCTGCTAGCATCTTAAAGCATATTTGTGCAGGAAACATAGCTGGGAATGCATATTCCTTCAGGTAGGGTAGGGGGAGTGGAAAGATTTTATTCAAATAGCTAAATATCTGCCAGCAAGCAGGCAAGAGCCCCAAGCCAGTGTGACACCGCAGCTCGCAGTGAGCGCCGCA